CCCCCCCCCACACACACACTAATATTTGTTTCTGAGGTTTCTAAATTTATTTGCACCAAAATCCATCCATCCATTCATTATCTTTTACCCGCTTCTTCCATTTTGAGTCACGGGGGTCGTTGGTACTCATATCCAGCCATCACTGTGCGAGAGGCGGGGGACACGTCTCCAGTCCATCACAGGACACGTAGAGACAAATGAGACAAACAACCATTCACTCTCTCTCTCACACCTAGGGACAATTTTGAGTCACCAATCAGCCTAATGTGCGTGTTTTTGGTCTGTGGGAGGAAACCGGAGAAAACCCACGCATGCACAGAGAAAATATGCAAACTCCACGAGAAAGGCCCCCGAACCAGGGTTTGAACCAGTGTAACCTGCTTGCTGAGAGGCAGCAGCTCTACCAACTGCGCCACCGTGCTGACATTATTTGAACAACTTTAAACAAATTAAAGGTAAAATTAAATTGCAGGTCATTACCATAAACACTGAAAATATAACCACCAGGTTATTGTGTGAGGTCGAACTTAAGGTTGTTCTTAAGTTCTGATCTCTTCAGTGAGGATGTTTCACAAGAATCATCAGACTCAGGGTCAGGGTTTAACCTCTGGGGAAAATTAAACTGCAAGAAAAGTTTTGAAAAATCTAACGGGAGATGTCAGCCTTGGTCTTTGTGGCAGAGATCTAAATATTTAATCGTTTAGAACCTTTACACAAGTATTTATATCATTTTGGTGTAAGTCCTCACCACAACAACCATTTTGTTTGTTTTAGCTTCTGCAGAGTCAAAGTTTTTCCAGACAAGACAAGAACTTGTAGGGTTTGGTCCAGACAAAGCAGGTGTCGGGTGATTAGTTGACTTTAGCTCCACATTAGCTCAACATCAAAATTGTCTAATAGCAATTTTTAAATTAGATTTAAAATATAATCTTTAAGCAGCTGACATGAGGAGCAATCTTGAGGATAAATCTGACACGACTCTACCAAGATTTTTTACTTGTGCATTATTAGTTTCTTTGCTGTTCTGCTGTCCAAGTAATCCTGAGTGCAAAACAAATACAAGAGGAAAATCCTGTACCGTAAATATATTAAGAACTGCTCAGTCTGGTCCAAATGTACTTAATGTTGCCCATATTCTGAGTCACATCATCAGCGTTACAGCTCAATAAGAAAAAATAAATAATTCACGCAACATACGAATATGAGACAGGAAAAAACAGACTGAAACTGTTGCAGTTGTCATTTCAGATTAATTTATAAAATATTTCACTGGAGACACAGTTCATTCCTCTACAACACAATGCTTGTGCAGTTCACACACAAATAGGCCCCATTAAATGACTCATGAAAACTTTGGCATAGTTGAGTTTGACTTAGTGAAAAAGACAAATGTGGACCAGAAAATGACGTTTAAGTTTGTCGCTGATGCCCAAGATCCTCATTTTACTCGTTTATAAACGGTCAGAACGGCAAGTGGATGAAACAGGATGAACAAAAGGTTGAATTGAAATCTTAAGTCACGTTAATTTAAAAATATAAAATAAAGCCTGAAATAAGTTTTCAACCTCAATATAAATAACTAGAAAGGAAAACAACAAAGTGCAAGTTATTATTAAAAACGTGTTTCCTAATCTTTTGCCCATTCAGCTGAATGTGACTAAACCACACAGCTATACTTGGACGCATCATTACATTTGTAAGGTTTACATGTCACAAATATGCACAGAATATCTTGTTGATATATATTATATGAATATCAATGCTGATTTTAGTACAACTGTTTCACTGATCTCACATCAGCCACGAGTATTAACAATACTTTAGATTAGAAGGTGATACTTTCAGGCAGACTCTGCCGAATAACAGTACAAGCCATTAAAAAAAAAATCACTTCAGCTTATCTTACAAATAACATTCCTCCTTGGAGGGAGAGTTCCAGCCACATGTTGCACAGCTCATGTTTTTTTTAAATATCTAAAGCCGTTTGAATATGTATTGCTGCCCATATGGTCCCAAGGAGACAAATAAAGAGACACGAGATGACTGGATTGTCAGCAAGCGTCGCAGAGGAAAAGACAACGAGCTGCTGGAAGTTCACTTGGCCTGTAGAAAAGTGGGAGAAGCACAAAAACATAGGATCAGACAATTTGATAAATACTTGGACTCACTGCTAGAGCATTCAATTCACAGAAGTTACCTTTAAAAAAGTAGCTGGAACTTACGTTTGACTATGAGTTTTCGATGGAGTTCATCACTGCACATTGAGAACCGCCCAGTTGTCTTTTTTGTCCTAATGGATGGAAAATACAAAAGTAAAAATGTGTCAAGTCCTACTTAATTAAACCTCTGCTTCCCCTACGTCTGCTGCGTTTCGATATTGTTAAAGCACGCTTCATGTAATCATGTTTGACATAAAGTTAAAATCAGTGAGGATTTCTTGCAGAATTTAAAACATTCTTAATTAATCAAACAACAATTAAAATTGCTCTCTTCGTAATACACTTATTAACTGACCAGATCAAGATAATGGCTAGTCTGAGTTGACTAGCAGAATGATGTTATCATAAAACGACTCCAAGCTAAAAAGAACATGAATAAATTCATAGCAGTTCATTCAAGCACAGTTTTATCAACCTTTATTTTCCATTTATTGTTATATTGCATGGTTAGGATGCGTCGTAGTCTGCACTGAAAGTGCTAACAAGTAGCTTGCAATTAATCCTGGAATGGTATGCAAATGACCATGTAATGCAAAACTGATTTAAAGCATTATAAAATAGTGTTTGCATAAACCACTTTAACATTTCTGAGATTAAAGTCTTTGTAAAAGCATCAATCCACTTTGGTCTTGGCTCAGATTAGAATAGCCATTAGCTTGTCAAACTAGTTGAAATCAAACTTTGTTTGTTTGAAATTAAGTTGTTCTAAAATCTATCTACAACAGGTAAGATATTCATTGTTCATAGGTTTTCCATAGAGCCCCACCTCAAAGACCTGAACCATCCAATTAAGCAGACATTAAGGTGATATAATAAAAACATTTTCACGTCTCTATAACCTGCAGGCCATCGACACAGGCAAGAACGATGAATCTGGTGCTTAATTAGATCCAGTTTACAGTAAAGCAGCCGTTCGGTGGCTCCATGCTGACCTCTGACATGACGGGCAGGTTATCACGAGGAAAGAGCCACATCATCGCCTTGATTTGTCTCTGCTGGAGCTTCCTCACCAACCTCTTCACCTTCCGATCTCTGGGGTCTGCGCACTTCACTGCCTTCTTTGTGTAAAGACTATAAATAGAAGATAAACAGTTTGCATTTATTTTACTCAGCACAGAATGAGGATTTAAGGGCCCATTGGAGGAAAATGAGAATGTTTAATGGTGTTGCATCACAAACATGTCTCTCAGGTGTTGTTCAATGCAAGAATATACTGGTAATATTAATATGAACGGCAATCAAAACTGAATAAAGCAGAAGAAGCTCAAACAAATTTTAAATGTAGCAAAGAAAAATTCAGTGTTTGTGTGAATTGGATCGTGTGAAAAATGTCTTGCTACATCAGTTTCTCAGAGCTGCTGGAAACAATCGATACCACAATGCAGTTTATTTAACCAAACCTCGCTGTTCTGACTGACTGCTGATGCTGCTTGCAAGGTATCTTCAGTTGGCGTGATGTTCCCACATATTTCCTTTCTTATTTTCCTGGCACTCACAGCACCAAGCTCTGCATTAACAACTTAACCTGGACAGATGACAATGCCTCCGAGCCCTGCTCTGCCCTCCAATAACAAGAGACATATTTTACATTCCTGCAAATTGCCCTTAAGCTCTGGGAGTGGATGGTTGAAATACTTGCATGATGGCTTGTATACTGCAGTCAGGCCCCTCGGTCTGCACCTCAAACCGCAGCACATCCTTGGTACGCACCTTGCCCTGGGAGTACAACATGCAGCACTGGACATCCCTCTGCATCTGCACGCCTTTAGCTGCAAAGTAAACCAAAACAAAAAGTGTCAGAAGGCATTCTAATTTTTTAACTATGCTGGGCCATTACTCCTTATTTCTAAAATGAATGGGTTTAGCTCAAGTTTAAAAGCACGTGTCAAATAAAAAAAAAGCCACTAAAGTTTTTAACAGTATTGTGCATCACCAGAAAGAACCTTGACATGAGCTGTACAAATATTGTATTTTCATATTCACCATTAATGATGGGTATGTAAAGGTCATGGATGTTTTTCACTTACTAATGTCAAATGTTATATAAACCGTGTGCGCGTTAAGAGATGTTTTGTCTTTGCAAAGTGGAGCCTGCAGAAACATGAAGCCAGTCACCTGATGAACTCAAGGCCCTAAGCTGTGAAGCAGAGTTGTCTTGACCTCGCCTCTGTCTGATAATGAGTATTTAAGCTTTGGTTAACGCTTTCTCTATGAGCAGATCTTGTTAGACGAAGTGTCATGTAAGAGCTTGATGCTTGTTTTTTCATCGCTGCTCTTGCAAGATTAAACCTGGGTGATAAAGATCTCCTTTCCTGTGTGGCTTATTTATTTAAGGAGTTGATGATAGGATAATTAAATTACCCAACAATTAATTCTGTAGGTGTTTGAAAGCAGGAAACGTTTTCTGTCCTGCACATTCTCCACATATTTTTTGTGTGTGTGCATGGTACACATGGTTATATAAATACGAGAATAGATCAGTTACAGTGTTAAGAAACATACTATGTGAAAAAATTTATAAACTAACATGTATTGTTTAAATATTATTTAATCCATGCTCATTCTGCAGACTTTCAAAGTTGGTGTGTGTATGTGAACTCTGGTAAACTCTTGTAAATGTGAACTTTTGTCCTGCTCCTGCAAACGTCCTTGTATTCCACCACCCGCAGAAGAGGCAAAGATACAGAACTTTACGCTTTTCGTATCAAAATGTTTTTCTTTTTCAGAATGTTCTAGCTCATGAAAAAAAGACTGTTACAAATCTAATTAAAAAATACCAGATCCACAATGTTTTTCAGAATGTTCTAGTCACATGGATAGAAGACTTGTTACAGAACACGGCTTCAACAAGAAGAATAACATCATCTCGTACTGATAACAAGAACTTGTGTATAGTGTCAACCTGAGGAACTTATCCTCCCCATTATGATAGAATTTTATTGTGACGCACGAAACATGTATAAATAATATGTACTGTCTCTTTAAGAATCCAGTGCGCTGTGTTGTGTTCTGACTTCACGCAGACAGCAACTCCTTTCTGCAGAAAGAATAAACCTCGCGCTCCGTTTTGAGCTAAAAGAGAAATGTCTCTGGTTTTCTTTTAAGAGTTGTTTTTTAAAGTTTAGAACAATTATTTATTTTCCACAA